TAGTATTACTACTGATACTAATATTAATATTGCCTTTATCATTTTACATTTGTGCATCATTTCGTGCCTACTGTTTCTGCTAATTCCAATAGTCGATGCTATGAACTTTAGTTAACTGTACCCTGTATTATTATTTTTAAATTTGTTTTTCCTGCTATCCAGTAAATCAGATGCAATATTGTACAAACTCCACATTGTATCATAAGTACTGTTTTTGGAATAAAGCAAATCATTATTCAGGATTTCATCATGAACTGAAATTGGTTAATGGATCATTGGAAAGCCTGGGAGTGCTGTGCAACGATTTCATCCTAGTTCGAGACTGTTCACAGTACGCACTCACTGAGGTACGAACCCGGGACCTTCTGAATTCGCAGAATTTGGAATTCATAGAACAGTGGGTTGGGTCCCAGTGGCCTAATAGTCTACGAGCTCGCCGTGTACCTAGAATATCCTGGATTCGAACCTTGTTGGTGGGTGCCCACTGATGAATAGTCCCATACTAGGGGGAAGCAGTCGTCTAGTACTCCCTGCAGGTTTTCCAATGGTCCTCTAACCGATGTCAGTTCATGATTTAGTCCTGAAACCAACCAAATCGCTGCAAACTAACACTTGAATACAAATCAGATTTGTTATTATTACACAATAGGTTCTACGACAGTATCCAGATTCTATCTTCTCACCAAAATTATTCAACTTTTCGCTTTGGATAGCACTACTGATCTTACAACTTTTCATTTTATTAATATTGATAATCATAATTTCATTTTGTGAACAGAAGTTTCATACAATATGCAGAATTATAACTGTATCAACCAAATGGGTCTTTCATCATCATGACAAACTTCAACAATACATCAGCGCAACACTAGAAATTAAACGTGTACAGGATCTATTCCTAAAAGCGTTACATGAATTCAGCTGGATATTCAAGAGTAGTGGTGTATTCATTGAAGTGAAAATTAAAGAAACATGACCTTAAGCGTCATAAAATGGTTGTTTCAGTAATGGAAACTATGGATAGAGTAAAATAGAAAGTGCTGAAAACTTTCAGTAAACATCAGTAAATATGTGATCAGCCCGAAATATCAACCACGTATTATTTTTACTCCCTTTGATTCCTAGTGTAAAACAGATCTTTAACCGTTTCATACTATTCCTTATGACCATCTTTAGATGGTCCCACGACTGATCATAGTCTCTCATCTCCTTCTCATACGTTCTCCTCCATGTCACCGTAGAACTCAAATCAAACTCATCGTTTCCGTTTCAGGTTCCACTCGAGGATCCATTAAAAGCGCGTTGTCACTCGGCGATCTCCTCAGCATGTGTCCAACCAATCTCCATTTTCTTCTACACATTTGTTGAGAAATAGATTTTTGATCGGTTCACTTCCAGAGTTTCTTGTTCTCAATTCCTTCTGACCGTCTAATCTTCAGAATGGATCTAGTGAAGGCGGCTACTGATAAAACTCTGTAACCCATTAGAAACGCTTTTCGTGACGCGCCGAGCTTCTTAGCCAGATAGAAGGAATGATCTAACTCTGATGTTGGAAATGTGAATGTCGCTCTTTTTGTTGACTGCAGCATTTTACTAGTTCGCTAGTATTCTAGCCAGTCCTAAGCCCGAGTAAAGAAGGATTGTTAGGTGTACAGCTAGTAAGCCTAATATGTAAAATCAGTCAGGTAGTACCAAATGCAAAATCAACTACTTATTTAAGCAACAATTCATGAAATATATTTGATTTTCAACGCATGACTTTTGCAAAAATTGCAGCTTTTCGCGACATCGCACTTGATAAAGTGCTAACAGAGGTAAAGAAAAATGCAAAGAAAGTATCATAAACTGAAATGCATGGGAGAACAAATAGTTCTGTGGAAAATGATCAAAGTTCAGTCCATCCAGAGAGTCATAGAAATTAAATGCCTCTGCTACACTAAGAACAACCCTGAGCCATGTCACTAACAGCCTCAATTCAATGATTCATAGTATCTCAAGGAGCCGATTGCGAAGTTCTGAAAGCATTTATAAACCTCACAACAGCTAATTCACAAGGGAAAGCTTACTAAAGCGTTTGAAGTGAAGAGAGCATTACGGGAAGAATGCCTACTATTACCGATTATGGTCCTTGTTGTTGCAGACTTGTTCATTCTGCAGTTCATGGGGAGTGAGAAGGCGGCTATAAGTTTAACCGACGAAAAGACCTTAGGAAATCTGGCAGATGATTTAAGTCTCATGTCTCAGAAACTCAAAGGGGTGATTAAGATACCCAACCGATAAAAGTATTCGCTGAAGATGTTGCCTAGTAGGGCAACGAAAGCTTTGCAAATAAACTATCCAGCTCAGAGAACACAACTACATCAAAATCATCCAACTGAGCTGAAAATCTTCTTCATCATAACTAATGACTGGCAACATGATAAATCTGTGTGAAGTCGTCTCTGTCATTTATCTTGGTAAGGTTATTTCAGCCACAGATGGAAATTACGAGGATGACAAAGACGGTCAGGATAGAGAGGGCAACATCGTTGTCCATTGTTATTTCGAAATCTGTGTGAAGATCTGGATTGCTTAACACAAGGAACAAGGTTGAAATTTTTCAACATTATTGTCAAATCAATGCTTCTCTACACTCTAGTGATGGCTGAGAACCAAATGTAATGAAGATGTCTCACCGAAGCCTTAAGTTCCACTTGGATCAAAAGAAGTGAATGTAAATAAACAAAGTGGATCCAATCCGAAGGTATTAAATATTCTTAGTTTGATCACTTATTTAACAAGATAAAAGTAGATCAGGTTTAATAATAATGGGTCACCAGACCAACCCCAACCTTCCCTCATTTTCCCACGTTAGTATCGGCTAGTTATCCAGTGAACTAGTTAACTAGATCAACTATCGATATCTAATTATCTGTGCCATATTTTTCAGCAGGACAGAAATTTGAATGATGTTCAGAAAGGTAACTTTTGTATCAGTCTTTCATCACATAACGATCTTTAACTAAATGAAACGCATAGTTAGTCTCACTGTAAAAATCTTAGATCAGTTCCTTATGTGTGTCGGTTTGAATTCCCCTAGGCCGCTTGTGCGTCGGTGGCATAGTGGTTGGGACGCTCGCCGACTATGTACATGGTCCGGGGTTCGATCCCCGGCCGACGCACTCATTTACCTTGCTAAGTCAGTAATAAAGTTGGTGAAAAGAAAAGTTTAGGCATGAGACTAGCAACCCCATCCTGTGAAATAAACACTGCTACAGAAACTTCAAGCCACTAGCTTGAAGCCCTATGTTCCACTGGGGAACGTGAAGGAAATAAAAAAAAGCCGCTTGAAAACAGTTTTGAACCATGTCGCTAATAATCCTCAGGAATCGATTCTTAGAATTTCGAAAACTCAAGGCAGACAGTTAACGCCTTTTAATGTGGTTCAAAACAGTTAATCAAAGTTATAGTAGAGTGATGTCATGTTTGGGTTTGATTATCCCAAATGCTTTCCTTTTCGACAGAGTCAACTGTGAAGTAATTTGACGACTACTTCAACATTTCGGAGTGCAGTGGCGTCAACATGTACAAATCATACTCAACAGTTACTGTAATGATTCCAAATATCAGGTGATTCATATAGTAAAGCTCAGAGAAGCATATGAAGGGAAGAAATGAGTATGATACTGTTGCCTACCATCATTGACGATCTTCAACACTGTAGTGGACTGGATCATGCGGTGGATTGGGGGAAGTGAGAGGACAAGTATAAGTTAGATCGAGAAGTACAGCCTAGAATATCTGGATATAGCAGATGCTCCCTGTCTCATATCTCATAAATTACAAGATTTACAAACGAAAACTTACAAACTGGAAGAAGATAGCAGTTTAGTTGAACATAGAGAAGAGAGAGATGGTGAATATATGCAACCAACAACAACAAACGCCAATCACCATCAAAAGAAAAACCTAAAGAAAACCGTATCTTTCAATCGCCTGAACAGGCAGCATCATCTCAACTACAGGTAGCCCAGAGACCTGTAACCAAAGACAGATGTTCATTACTCTAAAACAATTTTTTTCCCAGTGAACATAGGGCTTCAAGCTAGTGGCTTGCAGTTTCTGTAGCAGTGTTTACTTTTACAGGGTGGGTTGTTAGCCTGATGCCCAACCTTTCCTCTTCACCAGCATTATTTCTGGCTTAGCGATGTAAAGGAGTGAGTCGCGTGATTGAACCCGGACCATGTGCATGGTAGGCGAGCGTCCCAACCGCTATGCCACCGACGCAGTTTTTTCACCTGAAAACAAGAATACGAATTGAATTTTCAACGCTGTTTCTGTCTGCTTATAATTCAGTTTTGATTTCCCTGTTGACCAACTGGACCGAAATATTCAGCCTCTGGCGAGATGTCATCTCCTAGTGCGGACGCTTTGGAGATGTTCGAGGATTAACATAAAGTAATTTAGTGGATGCTGACTAACTATGGGATCCGGGATGCACATTCTGTCATATGTTTAACCAGTCAGTTGGATGCACTGTATAATCCAGTGACTGGTGGTGTTCCCGCTGAGTCTTGAACCCAGTGCCCATAGTTTCAAAAGCCAAGTACGCATCCTTGTGGGTTCCACTGCTATTCACCATCCACCAAATTGCTTCATATTAATCCTCTGACATCATCGAATCAACCGAACATTACGGTATAATTAATCAACGAGAAAATCGAAATTGAATTTAAAACAAATCATAACTGATTCTTGTCTGCCATGGCCCAAGTGGTCCAGCAGGTAAGGCTTTGGCTTTCTAAACGATGGTGACTGGGTTCGAACCTCAGTGACGGGGACACCATTACTCAATGTTGGATGCAAGTACATTCAGTTGTTGAGTACCAAATAGGATGAAACGTTCATCCTAGATTTCACTGATATAGGGTCAAGAGAACTGACAGGGAGGCGGCAATGAAGCCACCTGATCCCAAGAAATGAATACCATTAATAGTAACAATAAAATAGTAAAAACAAACTGAATCTATGATCATTTATTTCAAAAAATAAAAGTTAACCAATCTTAATAATAATGAATATCAAAATTACTTTACAAACAACAATACTAATAATACTATTAAACTTTACATGGTTTCCTTTCTGAACAGTATTTTTAAAAATACATAAAAATTGAGAATACGCGGGGGAAAAGTAACAAACACATTGAAGAAGAATGTTCAATGGTTCAATGCCTCGAATTATTATCGTTTGTTTTGTTAAATAATACTAATAATAGCTAACAGATTAAAAAGCAGATGCTATTGCATAGAATAACTTTCTATTTTAACTCAAATTTTATTGTACATGTTAATTTCTCTTTTATTTGATGGATTTTTTCGGTTTGTTTTAATTGATTACGTTGTTTTTTATTATTACGCCTTATTGCACATAATAACAATAATAATAATAGTATTGAAAATTTTAACATAAGGTCTTCGCTGAAACTGATTTTGATGATGACGTTAACGACAGTGATAGGGACGGTGATTTAGAGATGATTTTGTTATTTATGATATGTGTGTATGTATATGCGTATCAGATCATTTACAAAATGGTAAACATACGATCAGATTATATTGATTTATAGAGTAGTATTGAACGATTTCCAAGAAAAAAGTAGATAAACTTATTTGCTTGATGTGATACAAAACTATAGATAAAAAGAGCAAAGTAATTAAAAAGAAAAAGTAACAAAAGCAAAGATTAGCTAATCTTGTACTAATTTAATCAACTGTGTAAATAAAAACTAAATGTGAGTGTTTAAATGTTGACTCTCTTTTAGAAGGATAATATGTTTAACTCTGTTTAACTCAACCTGATTGATCACAAGCTGAAAGTCAACTAGAGAACTATTGGAAAATCAGCAGTGGAGTTCTGTATAGGTGTTCCTCCCTAGTTTGAGACTCTTCATCAGTACGCACCCACCGGGATTTGAACCCAAGACCCTCCAATCTCAAGGTGAACTCATAGACTGTTTAGCCACTGAGAACTGATCCACTTCCTTCCTTCACTTATCTAGGAAGCATCATTTAAGTTGCTGGCGGCAATATATATAGCAAAACTGGCGGCCAATATGACTGACGAGCAACTTTTCTCTTCCGTAACTTAGTGGACTCTAAAAACCGATAATTGATGATTAATCCTGTGCTAACTAGCAACAGGTTGTATTCAAGAAGCTATCTGGAGTTCTAGGGAGAAGTTGTGACCAGGGGGATCCACCAAGTCAGGTTACAAACGTTTCTTAGATTCTTTACGAAGGAGAAGAAATACATGTGATTCAGTTATGTTCAATAGAGAGCAAAAGATTTACTGATAAGCTCATCAAGTTTCATGATCTCACATGGAGAGCTGCGAAAATGTTCCCCATGAAATTTAGATTAAGGAAACAGCTTAACTGTCTGTTGTGCTTTTGAAAATCAGGCTATAACAACCAAAGTTAAGGTGCGAATGTGAACTGTGATAATGTTGCAAACAAACATTTAAGGGTCACCGAAGAATAAGTCGAATCTTTAATAACAAATGACTAACTGACTGAGTTTCTACCTAGAACTTTGGGCAGAAGTGCTGCATTTCAAGTTCTCACAATCCATACAGCATACAAAGGTAGAGAAAAGAAATTTAAAAGGACTTTAATCAGTAGACATGTGCGGAAGGAAGAACAGCAACATTGAAAAACACGATATTGTAATTGATATGGAAAATAACAAAGATTGGATGTATACGCAACACTGAAGACGGTTTTCAGCGATATCATTAATATTTTCAAGCTATTGGTTTTCAGTCTGAGATCATATGAGGTAGTCTATACCACCCTACGTGGTTCAAACAAAAAGTCAAACTTCATAGACTGATGCTGCGTTTTGGTTTGACCACCTCTAACTCTTTTTCAACCTAATTGCATGTTGGCTAACTCTGTCCGTCGAGGAAGCAGGAGGCCTAGCATGCGTAACACATGTCCTCGCCATCTCAACTGATTCAGTTTGACAACCTCATCGATTGATTTACCCTCTTTACCTAACAATATATGCCTAACATCAAAATTGTTGGCCAAATTAACCCACGTAAAACCGGAGATAGAACGTAAACATCTGTGGTCAAAGGTGGCTAGCATCTTCATATCTTCTTCTTTCAATGGCTATGTATCACTCACAGACAAATTATGCAGTTCTAAGTGGGAATCCATCACAGTTTCCCTTAGTAACTCAAAATATTCCATAGTAATATATGATATCTTTGAAACTGTAAATGGAAGTCATTGAAGAAAGGAGAACAGCATGATTTTACGTTCTACAAAGTGTTAGGAGTAATTATATATACCACTAAAGTTTAACAATAGTGCCGGCTAGTCAAAATAAAGGGATCTAATCATCAGATATCCGTCTTCCTCGTTCGCGGTGAACCCCATGACATTTGTCGAAAGACAGACTCAGGTAAAAGTGCCAAATAATTTGGATTTGGTTAGCGACCAATACTAGCTAGTGTATGTGGTTTCAAACTACTTTTATTGACTAGTAGTATATATAAGATAAACCAAAATATAATGAGAATGATTTTCAGCTACATCGCTAGAGAAGTTGGCTCTTGAGACAATGAAAGCTTCACAACTAAACCATACAACTCAGAGGACACAACTATACCTAAATCAGCCACCTGTAATCATTGCAAACATAAAAGATGTATCGTAGACACTGATAAAACATCGACTCTTTCGAATGTTTCAGGTAAAATAATTTGGGAATTTGGTTCAAACGATTAAAGCCATTGACAGGTGGTTTTTGATCACCTCTATCCGCTTACGAAGAAACTCTACTATCTGACATAAATCTTTTGGTAAAAATGATTTCAACTGAAAGTGTACAATATACAATTTGCTTTTCTTTTCTTTGACAGACTCGTCTTTCATTTTAAAAGTTATTGTGATCTTACCTGCATTTTTGTTTGTCTTCATCGCTTATTCAGTCTTCAAAGAAAGTTCTCTAAATCATGATCAGATATATACATTTATAGTAACAAAACGTCTATAACTAATGCACTCACACATAAACCCACAAAAATCATTCTGTCATGACTGAGAAATAAACTACTTACTATTTTAGGCATTTATATAATACGTCAAGTTTGAATCAAAAACACTGACAATTTTTGGTTGAAGAACATTAAAGCTAAATATCTTTTAATTCACTTTGATTGAAGAGACACTAGGTAGTGAGAACTAGTGGCGTGCGTTTAGTTTTTATTGTTGGTACAGACTAAATCCTATCAGTCAAGTTTACAGTGTAGCCGATATTGTAGGTAGCTTACCATCATGGATGAATCTGAACTGCTGTTATTAGATACTACCTAGTGTCCAACCTTGAGTATGCAATATAGTCCAAAAGGAGGTCAATCTCAAGTTAGAATCACTCAGTGATAACCTCACTGACTTCAGAATTAGGTGATGACGTGTGTTCGAATCTCAGAGTGGATGCGAGTACTTTTCAGGCTACAGATACGCCTGGTGATTGCTTACAAACATGAAGCCTAGGTCCAAAACTTTCCATCGATTGCCTCCAACCATTTAGTAAACAATCTTTCAATTTGACAGAAGTGAGAGTATTAAAAAAGTGGTGTTACTAAATCTGACATCAGTCTATAAATAGTAGCGAATAACAAATCGCTAATCTACAGTATTCTTCTTCAGCATTCACTGGAATGCTATCATGAAGACATTAATTAATCTAACAGGTACGGAATTGCTTTTAAACGTAGTACTGCTAGCAGTTATTGGCCATATTCATGTTTCACAACTGACTTTATTGTCTAGTAATTTGTTTGTTGGAGGTATTTCACAGTTTTGTTTCGTTCCTTCATGTTTCTAGTGGATTAGAGGGCTTTAGGCTATTGCACTGAAGTTTCGGAAACAGTGCTTTTTATTTTTATGGGATGGAATTGCTCCAAGCCTAGTCTTACCCCTTCACCTGCCTTACTACAGGCTTACCGAGGTTCAGAAGTGATCTGACTGGGGACAGAACCCCGGACCACATGAAGCTTGGTTGGCTAGCATCCAATCACTGAACCACCGACGTATATATTCCACAGTGATGAAACAGTACTTTATTCACTGGACGGAGTTTTGAACGTAAGTCATTGTACATAATCAATATCTACTACAACACCTACTATAGTGCCAAAGTTTTGCATACAAACGTTGAATGGTATTGTCTTTCAAAAGAAAACTTCAAAGTTCCATCTACGAGTACATGATACTACTGTAAAATAAAAAATAAAGCAAGACGGAGAACTACTTACAATAACATAACTAGAAAGAAGAGATTTATGGTTTACAGATGATGCATAATATTGAGACTGTTCACGGAGAATAAACAGTATTCACGAAAAGTTCACATAGAATGAAGAGACAATATATACTGGTGAGCTGCATTCAGGAAAGGTAAATCATGTGTTGATCAAATCAAAACTTTATTCATCATCATGGAACAAAGAATAGAATGGCAATCACCCCTCTATATTGATTTCATTGACTTTGAAAAACACTTCGACAGAGTTGACCAAGAAGTAACTTGGAAACCCCCTCAACACTACTGAGTGCAGTTCCCCAAATCTCTATCAACCTCATTCAACAACAGTATGGCAATGGCAGGTGGTATGTGATCCAAGACGGAAAATTCGTTGGAGCCTTCGAAGTGTATACAGGTGTAAGCCAAGGCTGCCCACTATCACTCGTGGTATTCCTAATTAGGCTGGACTGGATTATGTGGAACACCGTAAGCGGCGAGCAAGAAGTTAGGATACCTCTGGACCACTTATAAGAAGACTCTAGAAGATCTGGATTTCACGTGTGGATGATATATGTCTAATGTCACAAAAACTCGGAGACTTACAGGCAAAAACCAACTATTTGGTAGAAGAGGTAAGCAGCGGAAACAGGACTTCACGGGAATATAGAGAAGACAAGACAACAACAAGCACTAATCACCATCAAAAGCAGAAATTTGAAAGAGATTACTTCCTTCACTTATCTAGGAAGTATAGTTTCAACTGAAGGTGACAGCACGGATGAGAATGTCGAAGCCAGCCAGAATCAGAAAGATAAGATACACCTTCAACACTCTGAAATCAGTTTGAAAATCTTCTGCACTCCGCCTCAGTATGAGGAACGTATGTTACGTCAGTCAGAAATATAGTGCGTCATGACTGTACAGCTTAAGAATGATATCGCCGAAAAGAGTAACTCTTCACTGAACGCCTTTCCTTTTATTTGACTCAGTGGGGATTTTCAAGTTGTTCTCTTAGCTGTATGATGTAATTTTAGAGCTTTCATCCAATAAAAAAGTCAGATATCCGGTCAATGAGAAGATCAATATCAAAACAAGGGGATGGTATGATAAGGAAATCTATGCGAACAACTAGTCACATCAAAAGGTCACCAGATGACGCAAATATTTCATCCAAAGATAATTCCCAAATGCTCAGTTCACATTATAACTAGTGCTAAAGATGCTGCGCAGAAATAACACTAAAAACTTTACAACTAAGGCATCCACTTGAGAGAACACAACAGCTCTGAGAATATATTACATTCTCACTATAATAATATTTATATTATATTATTTTTTTGCGAAAATAGTGTTAACGTGAAATGCATGTTGGTGACAGTTTAATTCACCTGAAATTTGACCTGAGAACTGCTATCCTGTAGATTGTTCAAAATAATCTAAAGAACTTGTAGCCCTGTCACTCTTTACTTATTACTCGTCTTCAGTAGACCGATGGTTATTGCTTATGAGGAAGATACACTACCCAACTATCCCAATTTTATGACCATGCACAACATTAATCAAACCTATTATAAGACCTACAATGGGAGATCAACTATAAAATCTAGAAGACGTACTCCTGAGCACCTCCTGTTGCGGTTGCGGTGGAAATTTATAAAATCAGAGAGAAGTGATTGTCAAATAGATAAGAGATAGCCGTTTAGAATATTTTATTGTTTCCCATCGAAACATTCAAACAGAATTTGAACTCATGTTTTAAACATAAATGAAGCTGTGGGAATTTGGAAAATGGATCTTGTTTGTCCATTTTTAGCTCTGTTTTAGCACACCTTGTAGACATTGAGCATAAAGTTAATGTTACTAAAACATTCAAAGTTATTTATCGCATTCCTACTAATCTTAATTTTACTTTATGAGTTCATCTTCTACATACAGCTGAAGGGATGCATAGGAATCCACCTGAAGAAGCCAAAGATGTATGTTCCGAAGAAATTCATACAGGCACTTTCCTTAACTTTGCCTCCTAAGCCTTTTAAAAACTATTATTCTCCAAATTATTCTATTTTTTTCTAAAATCATCTATTACGTAACCAACTTGAACACTTGTTAATTCCTTCAGTACTATTCACTTTTCCATAATTATGCATTATGGTAAAATGTTGTGTATTGTATTGAAAATGCTATAGCTGTATATTAGAGTAGAGCCAGAGATGATGATCTAATTGTGACGTAAATACTTCTTTGTTCAATCCTTTTGCCTTCTAAATGTCTATATGGGGGAAACTTTTCTGTATGGAATTCGAAATCTTGTTTTGCACACTAGTGAAGCTCAGGGAATTCAAGTAAATAACTGAAGTTATCGTATTGAAGAAACGTTGGTTCTGACTTTGTCTCTATAATGGTTCGAATAGACTTCATAATAAATTATGTACTAAGGTTCTTTTTATAAATTCACTATATTTGTTTGAACTTAACTAGGTATTCCATTTCCATTTTGCTGAGACTTTCGTGTTGTGTGCTACTAACAAGATTTATCAGTAGTATAAAGATGTAGATTAACAGGAAGCAGCCAAAATTGAAAACAACACTTTACAAAAGTAGGAGGAAGAGTTTACTTCTGAAATCTGGATCTAGCTGCTTACGTTGTGATAGGGAAAAATAATCTCAAGATTTAACCTTCAGAGAATCAGCAGCCAATCAAAACAGTTTATTATCCACTGACCTAGCCAACCATAAATATTTCTAAAAATGTATAAATATGGTGTAATAAAAAATGGTCCGTTACCAAGTCCCTTGTTTACTCCCATTACACCTTGATATAATATGATATCGAAATATATTTGTTATTCTTACTGCTACTTATGACTGACTGGACATATTGTTCATTGTTCCATTCAGTCAACTTTCACTCAATAGATCCTGAGTTTGAATCTTACTTTAGCTACTCCATTCTGGATCACTCAACAATATCGTAAACCTTCACACAATGAGTACTGCTCTTCCCTTGGTGTGTGGAAAATCTGAGTCCACTAAATGTGGATGGTATATTAGAATGAGTGCATCGGTGGCACAAAGGTAGAATGCTCTTCAGTCACTCAGATGGTCCTGGGTTAGATCCCCAGCCGACGCACTCACAAACCTCGCTTATCTGGTAATAACCCAGGCAAAAATGGTAGATTTGGCAAGAGACTAGTAATCCCACCCCATAAAAGTAAAACCACTGCTGGCGCAACTTCAAAGCTCCAGCTTAAAACTCTATTTTCCACTGAGAACGTAAAGGAATAGTGCGTCGGTGGCATTGCAGTTAGGACGCTCGCCGACCATGCACATGGTCCGGGGTTCGATCCCCGGCCACAGACGCACTCCTTTACCTCGCTAAGCCAGAATTGAAGCCGGTGAAGAGGAAAGGTTGGGCTAACAACCCCATCCTGTAAAAATAAACACTGCTACAGAAACTTCAAGCCTCTAGCTTGAAGCCCTATGTTCCACTGGGAACGTAAAGGAATAATTAAATTAATTATTACGTAAAGGAATAAAGCAAAATTAAAATAAATAATATTAGAGTAAATTATGTGGAAGATTATCGACCAATATGTGTTTTCCTTCACTTTTAACAAAAAGATTATTGGAAACTGTAATTTTATTTAAAGGCAACCTAGAGATTTTAACAGTATCCCTCAACTGTCCGTAAATGGAAATTTTCTCATGATGAAAAGATTTACGAAATGCACAGATAATTATTGTGATAAAATCAACAGGGAGGGAAATGGAAAAGTTTGGACAAAAATGTATCAATTGAAGTTCTGTAGGACAAGAAATAAGCAAAAGAAATGAACTAGGGGGAATAACACTGTCATCAGTTCTGACAGACTGCCCTATGTTCCTCTGGGAACTAAAAGAAACAATAACAATAATAATAAGTGTGATAGTGCAAGAAACTGTTCAAAGTGAAATCGGTAATAAAAATCGACATGATAGGGGAAGGATATGCAAGGTGAATAAACAAAACAAAAAATAAGTAGGGCCAAAATATGAATAGAAAATTTCATAATTTGACCGGAATTAAACCGGGTAAAGAGGGAAGGTTAGTCATGAGGCCAGCAGGGCCACCCTGTTACAAAGATATCACCACTGCTACGGGAACTTCAGAGCTTAAGCTTGAAGCCCTAAATTCCTCTAGGAACGCAAAGGAATACAAGAAATAGTGACAACTTTATCTTGTATCTTACTTTCGATATTACTAACCTCGGATTCAACAAACTACATTTACACATTATGTGTGAAAAACGTGGGCACTCTGGTAGTATGTAGTTGCATATAGATTCGTTTATTAGATATATGTAGATGGGCATACGATCAGGTCAGTTCATCGTCTAATTTCTGAACATCTCCCATCTTGGTTTGGCAGAAGTCATAATAAAACTATACGCAGCTCAGTACAATATTAGCTCATCTCGTCGATACTGGCTGGACATCAAGTCGACTCTAATGAAGCTTTTAAAGTTATTTATCGTATATCACGAAACCTCTGGCATGATCCCACGAGTGAGACATACATACACATACATACAGCAGAGGCAATCGGAATTTTGATGTAGTTGTGTCCTCTGAGCTGGATGGTTTATTTGTGAAGCCTTCATCGCCCTACTAGGCAACATCTTCAGAAGAATTCATCTGAGCAAGCCAAATCTGTATGTTCAAAAGAAGTTTGTGCAGCCCTCTTTTGCCATGGCCAACTACATAATATATATTAAGTTTCTAAAAACAATTTTCTCCCGTCTCCTTGTAACTATCCTTTGACTTTGTTAATTTTTACAATTCTAGCTAATTCTATTAACTTGTTTGTATTTTATGTAATTCTCCCGAGTCCTCCTATTCTTCGTAGTCATCATGGCTATTTTACAAATTTCTTGATTACTTAATAACTTGTTGCTAATGCCTTAGAATTAACTTATCTTTAATTCCGTGATTCTGTAATTTAATAATAATAATAATTTGCTTTATTCCAGAAACAGTACTAGTGGAACAGTATGGAATTTTCCACTCCTCCTTCAAAACTTAGATTTATTGTTACTAACATCTATTAATTAATTGTTTTGATGACTTTTGACCTCTTAATTATACCAATCCCCTATACCTTAAACTGATTAACTAAAATAACGACTTGATTTTGATGTAAAAACTATATATGAGTATAGAACCAGCCATTGACGAGGAACAGAATGAAAAGGAATACATATTTCTTCGCTCAGTCTGTTTTTAGATGTATCATACAGTGAAACAGTATTATTTACTGGATGACGTTTGGAACACTATAAAAGTGGTGTTTAAACCCACACACTCATTTATCAACAAAATTTGTCAGATAAGGGATCTTGTGGAGCCAATGTATTTTATCTAATACCCTGTAATGACTATTAGTTCAAGTACACAGGTCAAAGTAGTAAAACAGGGTCAGTCAGACTAGCAAAGGACAAAAACCTACCAAAATCTACATTAGTTGACCCTAGTAAAATAAGAAATTTGGGGAATAGTTCAGACGTAGATAGCACTACATGCAGTTACACACAACCACACAAACAGGATGGGATAAGATATCTAATGTAACAGGGTGGAGGTTGAGATTGACAACGGAAGCTCTGTTTATCGAATCAACTAAAAACACGTGTAGTAGGAATGATTCAACACCTGTACACCAAGAATTCTGAGAAATTCTACTACCTCTACGACGAATGAAAAGGAATAAAGTGAAAGTCTCGAAGTTATGTAGTTATAATTGATGCTACGATTATGAAAAGTAATAAATTGTGTTCGAAACTTTGTCACTGAATAGATATTAATAAACAAATTATTATGCAATTACATCTACATCCATAATATACATTCTTGTAATAGACAACTCAGTGAAATAATAAAGCATACAATATATATATATATCCTACTTAACTTACCTAGAAAATGTTCCCCCTACTATACAATGCCAATATGGTTGATGTTTTTGATCAAATTCTGTTTTAATATACCGAGCAATCTCTTGTTCTGTATCATGTTCATCGATAGCATTAGCAGCTATATACACGGCATCTTCTTGCATATCACGATTCATATCAGCATCTTTAATCATTGCTGTAATTTCTTTCGTCATTTGGAAATTTGGCGTTGGAGTTGGAGTTGGAGACGGAGTCGGAGTTGGAATCGGCGAAGTGAAGAAGAAGAAAGTCGGGAGTGTGAGTTCAGCACTACTACTGATTGTGCTCACCAAAATGTTAAAAATATGGAAATATATACATGTATACTTATGACACCCACCCACCCACACATGCACACATGAGCACACACAACACTAGCACACAAATATGGTGTATACATGTGTCTGTGTACATCATACACTTTCATAATTAAAAGCAAACATGCAAAAAATAAACTTATCACCTATGGGTGTGTGTGTGTGTAGTCAATCTATGTATTCACCATATTGAACAAATTCAATTAACACTTTGTTTTAATGCATTACTTAATACTAAACACAAAAATAATGATGATTAGTTAAATGTGTTTATCTTACTCCAATTGTAATGAGTAAATGGTGCTTCTTTAAAAGAAGAAGAACAGGAGAGAGAGAGAGAGACAGTGATGAAAAATCAAAACAATAAACAGAAAATCTGAGAGTTTTCTATTTTCTTCAACTTTTATTCACTGGTAAGTATTATACATGAGTGAGTTTTTTTACTCAGGAGTGATATTGTTAATCCTTTTGTTATTGTTATCAGGATAGTAATGATAATAGTAATAATAATAATAATAACAATGACAATTATACCAATGATTATGATGCATGCAAGAACATTTAGAGAAAATGAGAAAATCAATTTTTGTTTTGTTTTGTTCTGTTTTCATCTTGAGAATAACTTTTGATAAGTAGTCTGTTTGTGTCATTTGCTTCGCTTATCTAAGAAGCATCATTTCAACTACAGGCAATCAATGTGGATGAAGAATTCAAGACAAGATACACCTTAATCACTCTGAAATCAATTTAGAAATCTACCACTTTACTCCGCATAAACAATAGTGCTTCTACCTTGGTAAGAAACGTAGCCAACATATCACGAAAAGCATTTCCGGCAGGCGGCTGAAGACTTTCATCAACAGCTGCCTTTGTCTGCTCCATAATGGAGATCAAATGAATGGGAAGAATTAAGAATGATAAACCCTGTGAATGAATTAACCAAGAACCTAATGCTCAACAAATATCCCGAGGGGAATGGAGATGGATTTGACACACACTGAGGAAATCGTCTTATGACACCACACGCCAGACTCTGGCTCGAGTGGAACCCGAATGGGAAATGATGAGTTGGACGTCGGTGTGAGGATAAAGTGGAGGAGATCGTTTGGGGAAGGAGGTGAGAGACTATTAGCAATCGTGAGACTGGGTGAAGGAGACTGCAGAGAGTAGGACCAAATGGAGATGTTCTAATCGGAACCCAATTGAATAATAATAATAATTTGTGTGCATAAGTGCCGATTAATCTAAGTAAGTGAAAGAACTCATTAGAATATAATAAAAATAAAGAGTTGCTTTATTGTCTATTCGCACTTCTTTACAGTGTGCAGGTATAACATATTCAGTAATGATGACATCATCATGTAGGTGATTCTGATATCCTAAGGAGGTTGCATGAGTGCTTTAGTGGTAGAGTACTCACTAACCACCTGTCATGCGGTCCGGGGTTCAACCTCTGGCAGACGCTGTCATTAACCTCACCTAGTCAAGAATAATTCCAGTAAACAGAGGAGGTCGGGCGTGAGACTAGCGATCCCGCCCTGTAAAAAACAATAACACAGCTTCTACTGAAACTCTAAAGCTGAAGCTTGAAGCCCTATGTTCCACTCAGAATGCAAGAGATTACAATTTTAAAAGTGGTCTGTATCTGGATAGAGTGGAGATCGTGTTTCAATGAGTTATGACACATTGGGACATTGGATTCGGTGTCTCGGAAATGTACTAAGAGTGTAGTTCTAGCGACTTCTATACCGTTTGCAGGCCGTGAAATTGGATAACAGCATTAATCTAAAACTTTTTATAAAATGTATAGAGTTTTCAACAAGGTTTATTGCATGATAATTTCCCCTTAGTCCAGGATCTGCAGAGCAAACCAATCTATTATGATATCCCTTCATTTCCTCCACCACCGATGCATTTAGCTTATATGTTGATACAAAAACGGAAGAAATTACACAGAAATACACAGATGACTGACGGTAAACTTACCCCGAAAAAAATTTTCTTAGAATATTTACATTGACTAGTTAGTGTAAGAGAAAAATGCGAATGGGAATTACAAATATTATTTCAGTGAATAATAATAAGGTTACGAAAATCTTCATTTTGATGCAAATATTGAAATTTTATATCATCTACACCAGCTACTTTTAATCCTTTAAGTAGTTAACTTGAATAAATAAAATTATTTTACTATATTTTCTATAGTTGGCTTGGAAGGATTAGTTTTGTTTTTATGAGATGATCACGGATTGATATCAGTTAGAGAACCATTGAAAACCACGGAGTACCGGACAGCTGCTTCATCCCAGTGTAGGAATCATCAGCAGTATGCACCCACTGGGGTTCGAACCGAGGACCTTCTGGTATTTAATTATAATCGGATCTAAATGTTCAGTATCATCCGATATTGTGAACTACTCTAGTATGGACGCTTTTCCGAAATTTTTCTCCTGTTATATCTGGAAACATTAAATGGTTCATTAAATGGTCATCCTTTCGCATCATACTTCAGAATTATCTCAGATTGTAAAAGTTCCGTCCATTAGATCCAGATATTTTTGTCATTCTTCCACATTTATAGTAACACCATATTCTTACATTAGAAGCACATTAAAAGAAAAAGATCTAATTATGGTCTATAGAAATTTAGTAATTTTGGATCATTTTTAACCTTCAATTTTAGAAATGAAACTCACTCACTTTCAAAATTGAAAGCTAAACTCTGAAACATAAATATGGGCTAAATAATATATTTGCAAAGATAACGATGTACGTTTCGGTACTGAGGAACTAGTATGTTGTAGAATACAACGCAGACGTAATCACAGTACTAATTTAAACCAATAATTGGTTAGTATATTTTATGTTAAAGACGTTTTAATCTTTATGAGGCATCTGTGAAAAGTTCATGACAGCTGGCTTGTTGTTTCTTCAACATTTCTCATTGTCCCAGATTTCCAAGCTTAAAGATTACAGTATTTCTTGGATGAGGTGAATCGACATCATTAAGTGGGTCACCTCAGTAAGGTCAGCCGAAGTTTTGTGCCGTCTACTTTCAGACTATGATCACTTTTTTCATCAACCATCAAAAATCTTTCTGAATTTGGCATTAAATGACACACATTTGAGTTATTTGAACATTAAAATTTAAAGTAGAAGGCATACAGCGAAGAGTTACTCTTTTCACCTATGTCATTCTCAAGCTGTACAGTCACATATATATATATATAAACCTGTCTTAGCAACAAAACGAATATTTCCAAAGATGTGTCATTAGAATTGTAAATTTCAGATTGAAACTTACGCAACGTATAAAGTGCTAATCGGGTAGAAACTTAAGAAATTACATCAGTAAACTGAGTGACGTAATATAATTGACGGGATTGAGTGAAATTCAACTGAAATTAAACCAGAGTTAAGTTAACAACAGTGGTATCAAGTGGTGGAAATTAAAGAGGGCTGAGGGAAGAAAATAACAGTAAGAGATCAGGTTTACTGTAGATTTAATGACTGAATAAACCTCTTTTGGATGTAGAGTTCAGGATTTAACACGTGAATTTCTAGTGATTCTGCGGTTTGGGGAGGTTTAATTCATCATAAGATTCCCACGTATTCCTACTTAGTCGACTTTGAAGTTGATTTGTGGGTAGGCTTGGTTTGTTTACAGCTACTGGTACAACTTACTGACTAGACAAAAATCAATTCTTTCTTGTGATCAATCACTGTCAATGAATATGTGTTGTAAAGCTAAGAATTTCAGCCTACTTAGCATTTACAAAACCATACTAACAGAATCCGATGAGCATCCATCTGTCTATTTACTAATGTTCATGTTGCTTTTTCATAGTAAAAACAATTAGATTATATTTATGAATTTCTTCGAAAAGAAATTCGGGACAATAACTGAACGATTTTTTAAACGACACGTTGAGTGACGCGTAAAATTCGAAATCACAGGATTTGTCTAAAATACAGTACTATATTAGACATCAAACATGAAATATGATACACAAACCTCAACTGGGAGGTCACTGTGACTGGATGCCATTAAAAAGTACAGTCAACATACGTCAGTAATTAAAAACAGCAAAGCTAAGTCAAAGGCGATCCACGCGTGATTTAAACAACGCGCGAATGCCGGACACAGAATAAATGGATACGGATGAACACTGTTCAACAGTAATGGATACATGAATAAAGCATATACAGCAATTAGTGTTCGACTATAAGAAAATAATTATTATACATCTAATAGATGAGTAATACATCGAGTGAGTTAGACTTCAATAGTAAATAAAGACATGGTTGGGAATTAACAAATTGAACTTACACTGAATGTCACTAAAATGTTTGAGTATTGTGAAATAGATCAAAGAAATTATAATTAAAAACAAGACAATTTCAACAATTAGTGTGATCACACGCAGTAATTTTGCCCGAAATATTGCCAAAAATCTTATCATTGTGTATAAACTACTGACACATAATTACACCTTACACTACTTACTCGAGATAAGTAGTATGAATTTTTAACACAAAAGATGGAATGACAAGGGACAGATAGGAAAGGAATTAACAATATTTAAGTCATAAAGTTTTGTTTCAGTAAGTATGACTGCATCATTTTTTAGGAACAAGGTATTCAGCTACAAGACTCTTTCCAACGAATTTACTAACAAGCTGTACATATATATATGTAAATATCAAGTGTCAAGTGGCAAAACAGAAATACTGCCTAAAGAGAACTGCTCTGCGGATACAGTGAATCTCAAAAGTTTCAATAAGCGTAAAGGTGTAATGTTAGGTGATTTATGGCAAGTCCTTATTAATTAATGAATTGGATACATATCCCCACTTCTCATGCCTAATCTTTCAACCCGAGTATACGTTACTTCTTTTGGAAATGCAAACAAATGATTTACAATTATTGTTCACTCATGCACACATTATTCCATATCGCATGTATATTGTTCTAATTCAGATATCCATGACCTCGTGAAATTTATTCGAATG